CTGCTGAATCTATTGCTTTATAACTATATAGAGTGCTTGGGGTAGGAAAAACTCTCTCAGAAGTGCTTCTGGTATGAAAGAATAGTGTGTTCAGGCAGATGTTCCTGTGCTGACATCTCATGGATTTATGTATCAGCCTATAATCTGAAGCAACTAATATTCTCAGAGATATTCTGTGTGGTTTTTTAATGAGCAAATACAGCTGTTAACTTGCAAGGCAAAGTTGTATACATTACTTTCTGACTTGTGAAAATAAAAAATGTCCTGTTTAAGTTTACTAATTGCATGTTTCTCCTTTAGTTATAGAGTCAAAGACACTACAAGGAGACAAGGGAGAGCATAGTTTCAATGCTCCTGGAACATTTGTCATAGAAAATACAACTGTTGAATTTCAGAAGAGTACAGACAGGGAAATCATAAAGATCCAGGGACCTCTTGGAGCAGATTTCATTATCAAGGTGGGATGCGCGTATGTAGAAATCTACAAAGACATTCCAAGTATGTGCAACAGAGTAGGTGGCTGTCCACCAGGTTATAGCAGTACAACAAAATCTTTTAGCTAGCAAATAAGGAATCCTAATTACAGTCCAGAGATAATTTATACTAAGTGTATCCAAACAAAATATTATGAGGTTAATGTCTTTGCTGTGGTGGAAAATACCACAGGATCTTTAATGATAAAAATGGCCAGGACTTCTGTTTTAAATATTACTGAAAGAATAGCAGCGTGATCCTGTGCAGTGGATTGGTGTTAATTCAATTGAAGACTGCCACCTACTGAATCTGAGCATTGCTTCCAGCAGTACCCTAGAATCTCCCACAGACATTGCTAGCCCAGCTACTGACCATTTCTAATCCTTTTAAGTTTCTCTTCTACCCAGACCACATTCTGATGGCTTGCATCATACATGCAGATATGTATGTGAAGAAACATATCAGTAATTGACTGCCAAAGGAAGACAGTCATACAGTTTTCCATTGGAAATGACAGGTGTTTCAGTATTATCACACCACTTGGCTTTATCTGTCATGGTGTAGAAATAGACCTTCAGTAGTTTTTATTTTGCACCTCCAATATCTCATACGCAGTTAGTCTTACCTGAGTATGAACCAGTGTGCTTAGATCAATTATAGACTTCCATCTTCAGCAAATTTTAAAAATGTTGCTAAAAAAGAGGTAAGACAGAAGACGACAGTTAGGAACTTTGCCAGTCAAGGACAGATAATCAAATAGTCACATTAGTACCTTGAATAATTTGAAAAACAAAGCAAAATACAAGTGTTTGACTATTGGAAACTTAAATTTAATAGTTACTCTAGACCTTCTAGAGGTTTTACGCCTGTTATCATATTACTCTCTGCACTACTGTTATATATGAATTATGTTTTGAAATGACATGAGCAGTGGAGTACAGTATGCACATGTGTTGTAATGGAAATTTCTTCAGACCAGGTACTCTGGATCAAAAGAGAGTGTGGTTCAGTTCTTTTTCTATCAACCCATCAGTCATCAGTGGAGACAAACAGAGTTCTTCCCCTGCACAGTTACGTGTGGAGGAGGTAAGTAATGGCAATTCTTCAGGAGTGTTAACAACTGAAGATTAAAAGTGACTGATTTATAACCTTTGTTCTGCATTTTTATTGCTTAAATGTTTGTATTTCTTTGCACACTGGTGGTTCTTCAGAAAAATAAATGACAGAGTAGCAGGTAAGTTGGTTAAGTTAGTATGAGCATGAGTTTTTTTATACCTTATATTACTGAAAGTCATGTTCTTCCATAAGGAATGATTGTTTGAGTAAGAACTTTGACTAGGAAATAAAGATACAACATTCAAAGTGGAAAATGACAATTCAAAATGATATTTTGGGAAAGTAAGCAAAGAAATACAATGAGATTTTAAATTAAGGATAATCAAGAGATGAAGGAAGAAGGCATTTCTGGCCACAGCAGTAGACATGAGGGAGAGTTTTAGAACACTTAGTTTAGAAATTAGTTACACAGAAAGCAGAATAAGTAAATAGAATTTAAAGAACAGCTACTATCAATACCTTTGGCTGCCTGCTGTTAGACACTTAGTCCCAATGGTAGTTAAAGCAGCAGGTAGCGTGCTGTAGTGTCTACTCCCGGTTTAAGCACTACAGCTTATACAATGGTTAGATGAAGTGCAGCTCAGCTCTGCTAGTCCTCATTCAGCCCAACCCACTGCGTGTCATGTCTGGTTCTGCAAAAAGCGTTACTTCGTGGTAGAAGGAGTGTTTGACGTTGTAGATAGCTATTTCAGTTCAGATAGCATTACCCAGGTCACCTGAAAAACAGACTGGGATACTAGTGATACTGGTGTTGTGATTTTCTTGGAGAGTACAAATATGGTTTAAATAGTTACTTGGGACATGAGTACAAAGAGTGAAAGATGTTTAAAAGACAAGCAGAGTCTGGGGGTCTTGTTAATGGACCATCCATTTTGGCACTTGTACCTCACTTCAATCTGAATCTTGAAAGACAATATATGTGTATAATATGTAGTCGCACAGGAAACTACAGTATCTTATAAGATACTTGGCCTCATGAAGTATGATTCTTGCTGGAACTGTGAGTGGCAATACGTCTGCTCTGATGATTCCATGGCACTGTGTTTATGAATTTTTCCTTAACTTATCTGACAAGGGAAGAAGTGTAAAGCATCACAGTTATTTTTGAGGACTGCGTGTGAACACTGGATAAGTCAAGGGACATATCTACCTTCAAAGTTATTGGCTCAAATCCAGCTTTATTCAGACCGGTGTTATGGTTTGAAAATTATAACTACATGTCAATCTCTTTGAAATTAGCCAGGGTATTCAGTGCCCTACTTTGTAGCTGCATGTCTATAATATGAAATTGGTAGTTTTATCAACAGGGCTTGACACTCTTGATGGCAGTCCTGAGACCAGTAACTGAAGAAGCACACAAACTAAGCTACTTGCTTACCCATGAAAGTAGTAGTGTTAAGAATGACATATTACTGAGGCATGCAGGGAAGTTGTATTGTAGGTGCCTGCCTTTAACCTGATATCTTAAAGCGGATTCAGTATCCAGATTGACTGTTTGATGTCTTTTACTGGCAGTAAAAGAAAGGGTTCCTCACAACAGAGACTTGGAATCAGTGCACCACCATTCCTCACTTGGATGCTGCTTCTACGTTTAATTCTGTAATCTCCATGTGTGGGAAGGGGGAGTGCAACGAGCATCTCGGAAAGCACAGTCAAGCTTGAATGAGCAAGAATGTTTAAAAATTATGTTTATCTTGTTTGCAAGTGGCCTATTTCTGGGTCCTTTCAGTACTTACAAGAACTGGAACATACATGCTTTGAGCACTGGAACTGCTTATTTCTTCATTGTTATCGCTCTCATGCATGATGACACTTTGAATCAGCCAAGAGACACACAAGTGAAGCCATTGACATGTGATACTTAGAATTTTCAGTAGACACTGGGACTTGTGCTGTTAGTTTATTGACTCTATTTGGATTTTAATTCTTGTGGTTGCAAACTTTTTTCTTTGCACATACCAGAACATCCTCCTCCTTGCCTCAGTTTAAGTCCAAGTCAGCTCTTTTGAATGAGTCTTTTTTTTCTTAGCCAAAAAAGCAACCTAGTGGTTTATAAAACTCAGATCCTTTATTGTAACCAGTCTCTACACAGATTTTTTTTTTTTTCACCAAGTAGTTACTTCAAGTTTTCTTTTGTTGGCTCTTCAACTAGGAATGTTCTTGAAACTATTTCTTGGTTTTCTACAGTTTAACTTAGCAATGTTTTTGGATCTCATCTTCAATTCCTCTGGCTTTCTGTTTTAAGTATTTTTTGTTTAACATGCATGACTCTGTAATATAGCTCTCTAACATACATGGTAACTCCTCCTAGGGGGAGGGCAGTTATAAGTTGTGGAATGTGTAGTAGAACCGTATGACTTCGTAGGGTTGCCCCTGTGAGAGGTGAGCTGCTCCAGCACATGTATTCCTGCATCACATAAAAATATGTATGCTTTTAGTCTTATACTTAGAATATTATTAGAATAACTTGACAGCATCACATCTAGTTTGAAGATAGGCTAACCTAATTGTTGTGCTGAATTGCCTTAAATGAAGATCCTGTCCTGCATGTTCCTGTGCAGTGTTTCCTCGTTCAAAGGCAAACCAAAGAGGAGTAAGACAGGAAATTAATTCAATGGGCAGTGTGCTATTGGGGGGAGGGGAGGAAAATAAGGCTGCTTTAATTTATCTCCATTACCAAAGTTTAACTTTAAATTTAACCTTTATTAGGTTATCAGCTTAATTCAGCTGAATGTGTGGATATTCGTCTGAAGCGTGTTGTTCCTGACCACTATTGTCATTACTATCCAGAAAATAAGAAACCAAAGCCCAAGCTAAAAGAATGCAACATGGATCCCTGCCCTTCTAGGTTTGTATGACAAATAAATGTAAGTGTGTGGTATAGTCAGTTACTAAGGAACAAGCAATTATATTTACTTAATTTCAGTTGTTTTCATCTTTAAGGCTACTTAATCTTGGCTGATTATTGCACACATTAAGGGCTCATGCCTGGCACCGCTGCCAATAGATCTGTGGCACTTCAGTGCTGTAGGAGACTTTGAGTTATACCGAGATATTGTAAATATCAATTTGTCTGTTCAGAGGCTAATTCTACTTTATGTCTTCTGCTGAGCGGTACAGCACTATAGTACAAGGATTTCAGACATGCAAGGAGGACAGACTGTTTGCCTGCTTTTGGATGTATTGATGCTGCCATTCCGGATTTCTCATTAGACAAACAGTAGCTCCAGTTCTCAGTCAGCGTACAAGTTTTGCACATGGTTTAACTTGGTCTATTCATCTGTCTGCTGTAAAAGTTTCATTCTTCATTTGTACTGTGGAGTTGACACTTAACTACTAAAGTTTGGGGGGGTTGTTTTTTTACACTAAGAATTAAAAAAAAAGAATCGTTCAAAGTAAATATACTTGTGGTACAAATACCACAGAATATTATTGCCAAATTATAACAGCTATAGTATACATAGTATACATAAATTGTATTGAATTGCACTACAGTATTTCAAACTAACTTTTGGATTGTCTGGTGAGGTTTCCTGGCTGTGCTAAAGAATCTTAAAATAACATCACAGTATCAAGTCCCAGAACCTCACATTAATATGCCAGCTGGCCGAGCTAGAGTTATATGCAAGAAGAAAAGGAAACACTCTCAATGGATTTCATTTCCTATAGCTAAACTGTCCATTTCCTTTCATTCCTGTTGAACGTAATTGTTGATAGTGACCTCTAACAGTTATAGATGTGCAGACTTTCAAGTTTTTTTTGAAGAGAGTTGATCACTATGTGGAATGGTAACACTTCAGTAATGCTTAATGGCAACGGGTGCCAAATGTTGCAAAGCTGGAATGGGAAAAAAAAATTAGGGAAAAGAAATTAGGGAAATAAAGGACATAATTATATTTTTCCTTGCAATTTTAGCTTGTACAGACAGAAAAATGGAAGTACTACTGGATATAATACTGTACTTCTTATTATTGGAAATAAGGCTTTATGCCTGTTCTGTGCAGTTCAAATAAACAGCTCTAAAGTCCTAAGTACTATTTGGAACCTACCTAAGATTAATTCTGTGATGCATTTATTTCTGTGTCACTCATGTTCCTCAGTGGTCTTTGTTACAGACATAAGTATGTAACTATTTTCTTGTTAATAAAGTAGCACAGACCTAAAGGATCAGTGATAATAAACTTCCCTGCTGAAGGCTTGCTCATTTAATATTTTTTTTTGTGGTATGAAGTGGTGAAGCTGCATGGTGAATAGATCTCTATTAGTGCAGAAGAGGTAAGATCATACGAGTCATTGTTCGCTGCAAGGGTAACGTGTAATGAATGTAAGATTCCCTCATTCCTTGTTGGGAATTTCTTACTTTAAGCATGATCACATAAAAGTATGTACTTGATGTACAGTCTTGGATATGAGAAATAATGATGCAATATTTATTTTGTTGACAGTGATGGATTTAAAGAAATCATGCCCTATGATCACTTCCAGCCACTTCCTCGGTATGTATAGTCAGGATAGCATATGTGTCAGCATAAGCACAATTTTCACTGCAAATATACTATTTGAGTACTAAGGTCATGGAACATCTTCTGAGTTTTTGCTGTACTGTATAAACTTGAGAGCAAGCGTATAACAAACCTGTATGCGGTTTTGAAGTTTGTGATTTATTTCAGTGTGCTCTGGATAATTAGCTTAACAGTAAGAGGTTAATATGCTCTTCTTGAAAATATCAGTGTGGAAGACTTTAGAATAAAGAGTTGTCCCCTTAAGCCTTCTTCTGCTAACTTCCATCTTTTAAAATGCATGTGTGAATTCTTGTCTTGAAAGGTTTTTATTTTGAAGATGTATGCAATGAATATACTCTTTTATAAAACAGGTCTCCCTGTGTTACAGGACTCTAGAAATTCTTTTTCCCTTGAGAGGTCTTATTCTTCTGCTCTTCTTTACATCTAAACTCTATTTATTGACATCAAGGCTGACATGTCACTTTAAAGATAATGAGTTGCTTGAACATCCATTGCCTAAAATTAAGTCATCAGAGCACAGTTTGCTGCCTTTTTTTTTTTTTTTTTTTTTTTTTTTTCTTTTTACCTGAATCAGTCACAAGAATGTAAACCTTCTCTGGAAGGTGTATGTGTTTTGTAAAGAATGTTAGGACTAAAAAGACAGATTTACTGTTAATGTAAAGAATTATAGTTGATGGAGTTAGATGCATATTTATCTGAGTTGAAACTCTGCTTTATTATGTCATGAAATGAATAATGTGTATTTTTCTAAAGTAGTAAAGATATGAAGTAATAAGAATGAAATCATAGACTTGCACGGCTCAGTGGAGCTACTGATTACAGCTGATATAAATGTCATAGTTCATTTCTGTAGCAATTTATGCTCGTTGTGGATCTGCTGTCCTGTGATGTACTTTGGCTTTCATACACAGATTGAGATTTTTTTTTCCTCTACAGCTTTATCCTGTAAGGTTCCATAATTATATTCTGTGTCTCTCCCTTTCCATTTCTTCTGCCAATTCCTTTGTACTTCAGATCTCCTCTGGAACTCAGCACAATTTATTTACACATGTAT